GTCAGGCCCGTAGTGTCGTGAGTGGATGCCCTGTAAGCTAGGAGAAAGAGGGGTAACCTCTCATCCCAGTCCCTTTGGTGCGATGAGACGACCTTCCGCAAGTGCTCCTCGATGGTCTTGACGTAGCGTTCCACCATTCCATCCGACTGTGGGTGCAGGGGTGTGGTGCACGTCTTGCTCACTCCCAGGCGTTCGAGTAGATGAGACTCGAAGTTACGGCCTTGGTCACTGCAAGTCCCGAGGTATGCCGAAGCGGCAGAAGAAGTTGGCAACCAGAACTTCCGCTATTGTTGAAGCCTCCTGATTCGGGATGGCGTACACTTCCGGCCACTTGGTGAAGTAGTCCATAGCGATCAGTAAGTATCGGTTTCCTTGGTCGCTTCGTGGGAAGGGCCCTGCGATATCAATGGCTACTCTCTCGAAGGGAGCACCGACATTATACTGGTGCATTTGCCCACGATTCCTGGTCCGCGGTCCCCGACTGGCTGCACATGTGTCACACTCTCGACACCATTTCTCAACATCGGTCCTTGCTTGAAGCCAGTAGAATCTCTGTCGAAACTTATTCAGAGGTTTGTTGACACCAAAGTGACCTCCTGACGGTCCACCGTGCAGTTCGCTCAGAACGTCCTTCACCCTGCTCCGAGGAATAATTATCTGGGCTACTTGACGTCTTCCGGTGGCGGATTCCCAGTCACGCGATTTCCACTGGGCACAGTAGCTTTTGTACGTGGGACTCCGATCCGCGATGTCCTGCCATATCGGTCGTTGGCCGTTTACTACTTCCTGTAGAATAGGCCCTATGTCTGGGTCTTTTAGCTGTTCCTCTCTTAGGGTAACAGGGTCCCAGTCGGCTGCCGGTAGGGTTCCAACAACGCGTATTTGCTTTACCTCTGCCCGCGTCTCAACTTTCTGGCAGTGCGCACATTGCTCTTTTCAGGGTTGTCTAGAAAAGGCGTCGCCATTGTTATGTTTTCGGCCCTGACGATGCTCGGAAGTGAAGTTGTACTCCTGTAGACGCTGTATCCAGCGCGCAGAGTGTCCCTCTAAGTTCTTGAAACTCATAAGCCAGGTAAGCGCAGAGTGGTCCGTTCGCAGATGGAACTGTTGTCCGTAGAGGTATTTGTGGAAATGTTCCAGTGTCCTCACTATGGCAAGTAGTTCTCGACGGGTGACGCAGTAGTTTCTCTCTGCTTTGTTTAGCGTCTTGCTGAAGTAAGCTATGACACGCTCTTTTCCGTCCTGGATTTGAGAGAGAACTCCTCCAATTCCGACATTACTTGCATCTGTGTCCACAATGAATTTCTCTCCTGGCTGTGGGTAGGCAAGAATAGGGGCAGCACATAGGGCACCCTTTAGCGTTTGAAAAGCGGCCTCCACTTCTGGAGTCCACTGGAAGGTTTGTTTCTCTTCCGTTAGTTTCGTTAGTGGTTTCGCAATATTGGAAAACCCTGAAATAAATCGCCTGTAATGTGAGCATAGTCCCAGATAGCTTCTAACTTCATGTTTATCCTTCGGGGTCGGCCATTCTCGCACGGCTTTCAACTTCTCCAGGTCGGTGGATACCCCTACTGCTGATACAATATGCCCAAGGTACCTGACCTCTTCCTGCAAGAGTTTACACTTTTCTGGGTTAAGTTTCAGACGGGCTTCCCGGAACCTCTCGAACACTTTCCGTAAGTTGAGCATGTGCTCTCGGAATGTGCGGCCTATTACGATCACATCGTCCAAGTACAGAAGGCATGAATCGTACGTGAGCCCACGTAGGACTGTCTCCATTAGCCTTTCGAAGGTTGCCGGGGCATTGCAGAGGCCAAAGGGCATGACTGTGAACTGCCATAGCCCTTGCCCTGTCGAAAACGCTGTTTTCTCTTTGTCGTCTGGGTGTACGTCGACTTGCCAATAGCCACTCTTTAAATCGAGAGTTGAAAACCATTTGGCTCCGGCCAGCGTGTCCAGGGTGTCGTCAATGCGGGGTAGCGGAAAGCAATCCTTCTTGGTGACGTCGTTCAGCTTTCTGTAGTCCACACAGAAACGGAGCTCCCCATTCTTTTTCCTGACCAAAACGACCGGGGACGACCAAGGGCTGTCCGATTCTTCTATAACACCCTGTCCTCGCATGTTGTCAAGCATTTCCTTCACTTCTGCTTGTTTTGCCAGGGGTACTCTCAGTGGCTGCCGAATTGGCCGGGCGTCTCCCGTGTCTATGCGGTGATATACTTTGTTTGTCCTTCCATAATCTTCGTTGTCTTGTGCGAATATGTCGGCGTACTCGGACACGAGATCCTCTAACTCCTGAAATTCTTCTGGGCTTAGGTGTGGCTTGGCGGCTGTGGTCCCGTCTGCTAATTTCGGTGTTAGACCTGGTGCTGGTGGCTGCCTCATCTCGGGCAAAGCCACGAGTGTTACTGGCTCACAGTGCGCCAGAGGAGATCCTCTTCTGAGCTTTTGGTTCTTGTGGGTAACATTCATGACCCTCACTGGTACTTCTTGACAGTCCTGAACTAGGGTCCTGGCTACGTAGATTCCTTCAGGCGGGTGGGCCTGGGGAATTTGTTCTACTAGGCCATTCTCTACTCCCAGATGATTCTCCATTCTAGCCATCACTATTCCCTCGCTCCGTGCGGGTATCACTAGGTCCTTTGCCACTAGTAAGCTAGAAGGACGGGGTCCTACCCCAGGACTCCATAACGATACCTCTTCTTCCGCCAGACGGAGAGTTTGGCGCCCTATATCCACGGAAGCATCGTAGGCGCGCAGTATGTCCAGTCCCAGGATGAGCTCATCGGTGATATTCGCGACGAAAACCCACATCGTAATAGGTTGGCGCCCTAGGGTAAGAGTCAACAGAACTTCATTCAGTATGGGCAGGGATCCTCCAGACACGGTCTGCAGCGAGAAATCTGGATTTGGCTGTCTTTCAGGCCAACCGGCGGCGATATCCAGTCTTACTTCCGTGACGTATGCTCCCGTGTCCACTGTCACCTGGCACGGCTTATCACCAACCCATCCCTGGGTGACCAGGCTTGTGTTGACTTTCTCCGTCATGTCGGTGAGTGCATAATGTGGGGGCCTTAACGCATATGCCGGCGTTCGCCCATCTCCGCCGGCCGTCGCTCGTTTCCCGACGGTTGGTCCTTCCTCCAGCTTGTTTCCCTGTTGTTTCTGGGTCGCCATTCTGATGTCCCCCGGCGATTCCCGTTTATTTCTTATAGGTCCTTCTTTTCGGTCCTGGTGATGTCTATTGTCATCTCATCATTGGGTGGGGGACGATCTGAACCTGGTGCTATCTCCGTGAGGTCTGGCTGCTACCAGTACCGCCTGCAGCTCTAGTGCTTGTCGGAGGGCCTCGTTTACAGTCTTTTCCCCTCCCAGCAGCAGCTGGAACTTTATATCGGCATCTCGTATTCCGTATGCGAAGGCTTTTCCTGCCTCCCTTCCTATGTGGTCAGCAGGTAGATTTGGGTAGGCACGACGGGAAAGGAGTTCAATGGCCGTGGCAAAATCTTGCAGGGATTCCCCAGGTCTCTGCGTCCTCGTTCGTAGTTGGCAGTGGTAAGCAGCTGCGAAGTGTTGGTCCCCGAAACGGTCCTCTAGAGCCTGAAGTGTTTCNTCATTTGCACTATGTCCAACCGGGCCTGGAACTCGCGTTTGGTTTCGTCAATTGCTGAGCAGGTTTCGTTGTAGTTTTTCATCAGGATTTCTTGATGTTTATCTGTCCGCGCGCAGAGGGACACTTCAATCTGTTCAGTTATTTCTGACCGGAGAGTCTGTTTGTCGTGTTCAACGATTGCCAAAATGTTTTCGACTCTATGTTGGATTTGGTCATCCAACTCTGACCGCATAGATCGCATTTCGGCCTTAATTTCTTCCTTGTCGGCCTTCCTATCGGCCTCCGCCTTTTCTTGGTAGGCGTCTAATTTTGTCAGCATGACTTCGGTTTGTTTCTGGTTGACGTCTAATTTTGCNGCATATCGTCTTTATCAGTTTTCCTATCAGCGTATGATTTTACCAGCATGTTATTTGCTTTTTCTTGATTGGATTCTAATTTCGCCAGGAAATCCTCTTTGTCTTTCCTCCTATTGGCCTTCATTTCTTCCTTGTCGGCTTTTCTATTGGCATCTGCTTTTTCTTGGTTTGTCCGAATCTCTTTCAGTAGAAGTTCCATCGTCTGCTGCATCTCCATTTTGTAGCAGTAAGATACTTGATCACAACAAATTGTTTGTGGAGTGTTTAAGTTCATAACACTTCTGACACCAGTGTAATGTGTCTTGAGTTCGAATCTTGTCGGTCACATGTGTTAAGTCCAAATCCCACTTCTGACACCAGTGTAACGTGTTTCGTTACAGAATACGCCGTAGAGATCGTTAACTGGTTTATTCAACAATCTACAACTATCGGCTACAATTAATTATAACAATGTTACGGGTTTCCACTCTTTACAAACCCTACAACAAAATCTCTTAACACTATCTTCAAGAGTCTTCACGTATTAATAACGCGGGAGCTATACAAGTCTCCCTGAATTACACACTCCAAATATAACTGGTTATCACGAACTATCACTGATTCTCGCACACGCGTCTGTAGCTCGTAACTTGCGAACTGAGAACTCGTTGATAACACACTGACTCTCGCTTGCTGCTCAGCCGGCTTTTATTCCGTTCGCTGTTGCTAGGGTCGCCCACCACGTCACTACTGTGACGTGGCGTATAGCCTAGCAACGCTGTCCGGAGTTGTTGACTGCTGCCTAGCAACCGCGATATCCCTTGGTGACGTCACCGCTGTTGACTCGCGTTGCATAGCTACCAGGTTGCGGGGACTCAGCTAACTTCGGCTCCGCTCGGCTCACTTCGGCTCCGCTCGCACGTCACCGCGGGGAGAGTGGAGGGATGATGACTCTCCTATTACGAGAGCGCTACGTTACCGCCACGTGGCGCTGGGGAGGTAGGGGTTCTCCGTTGCGCAACATGTCACAATATATTCCAATTGCTCACATGAGCATCAATAGTTGTTTCATAAGTTGGAGAAAGTAACCCTGATGACAAGCAACTCCAACTACCATGCCTTCACATGCTCTTGTCTCAAACCTCTGGTTTTGAGTAATTTGTTGACAACATTGTCACCTACATTCGGATTACGTACAAGAAACCTATTCTGATCTTGAACTCCATCTCTTTCTTGCTTTGGAGACCTGTTTCCTTCTTCCCAGTATATTAGAACATCATTCTCAGAAGATGGTCAGAGTTCATTCTGCCCTCTATCTGAAAATAATTAGATTTCAATCAAGAATTGTGTTTGAAATTCTTTTCTGACTCAAATGGTTCGTTTTTATATGTGGGTAAGAGTGAAGTGGCATTACTTTATACTTGACTTGTAATCTTCAGGTTACCTGATTCAGTGTGAAACGCTGAGGAGCAGAATCAATGTCAGGATTCAGTGTATATTTTGTAATTAAATTTATTAACTACTTCCTACGTAGGAACTTTTACTTATTAGTGTCTACATATTTTATTCATCTAATTTGTTATTATGGGTATATCCCTTCAGTCATTGCATTATTTTGGCCATATTATTGTGTTCAGCATTGATCGTATGAATATAAATATATAAACATCAGATTTTTAAGGTTCATTATATTGCTTCAGATATTCTATTATCTTGGTCATATTATTGTGTTCAGCAATGAACTTATGAACACACACACACACATATATATTGTGACATGTTGACCCCTACCTCCCCAGCTGCACGTAGCGGTAACGTAGGGCTCGCGTAATAGGCGAGTAATCACCCCGCAACTCTTCCCGCGGTGACGTCACGAGCGGAGCCGAAGTGAGCCGAGCGGAGCCGACGTTAGCCGAGTCCTAGCATCCTGGTCGCTATGCAAGGCAAGTCAACAGCGATGACGTCACCAAGGGTACCGCGGGTTGCTAGGCAGCGCGGGTAAACAGTGATTGCGAGAGACGACGGTAGTAACAGCGGTTACTTCCGCTAGCGTTACTAGCAACACAGCGCCAGGCAACAAGGGTGCCTATTACGTGGCCGTTTTCCGTATTGTCCGATCGAGGCTACATAAGGAGCAGCGAAGGCTATCCAGAGTGAGTTCTCAATGCAGCTACCTACGAGTTAGTTCCGAGCAAGCCCACTAGCCAGCGGCGTGTTACGAGTGAAAGTGTGTAATTCAGGGAGACTTGTATAGCTCCCGCGTTATTAATACGTGGAGACTCTTGAAGATAGTGTGAAGAGATTTGGTTGTAGGGTTTGTAAAGTGTGAAACCCGCAACTGTGTTATAGTTAATTGTAGCTGTTATTTGTAGATTGTTAAATAAACCAATTAACCATCTCTACGGCGTCTTCAGTAACGAAACACGTTACATTGGTGTCAGAAGTGGGATTTGGACTTACACACGTGACCGACGAGATTCGATCTCAAGACACGTGACAGTTTGGTGTCAGAATTTTTACGAACTTAAACACGCCTGACAAATAATTGAATTATTGTGCATCGAGTATTTTATTGCTACAAAATGGAAAAACAAGATATTGAAAACTTGTTCGAACGCGTAGTGGCAGAACTAGACGCCGACAGAAAAACTGACAAGGAAGAAATGAAGGCCGATAGAAGGAAAGACAGAGAAGATTTCCTGGCAAAATTAGACGTCAACCAGAAACAAACCGAAGTCATGCTGACAAAATTAGACGCCTACCAAGAAAAGGCGGAGGCCGATAGGAAGGCGGCCAAGGAAGAAATTAAGGCCGAAATGCGATCTATGCGGTCAGAGTTGGATGATAATATCCAACATCGAGTTGAAAACATCTTGGCGATCGTCGAACACGACAAACGAAATCTCAAGGAAGACCTGACAAAAACTACAAGGAAACCTGCGTTGCAATTGACGAAACCAAACGCGAGTTCCAGGCCCGGTTGGACATAGTGCAAATGAAGGCCGAGCGGNGAAACGAGCGACGGCCGGCGGAGATGGGCGAACGCCGGCATATGCGTTAAGGCCCCCACACTACGCACTCACCGACATGACGGAGAAAGCCAACACCAGTCTGGTCACCCAGGGATGGGTCGGTGATAAGCCGTGCCAGGTGACAGTGGACACTGGACCATACGTCACGGTAGTAAGACCGGATATCGCCGCCGGATGGCCTGAAAGACAGCCAAGCCCAGATTTTACGCTACAGACCGTGTCTGGAGGATTCCTACCCATCCTGAAGGAAGTTCTGCTGACCCTTACCCTAGGGCGCCAACCTATTACGATGTGGGTTTTCGTCGCGAATATCACCGATGAGCTCATCCTGGGACTGGACATACTGCGCGCCTACGATGCTTCAGTGGATATAGGGCGCCAAACTCTGCGTCTGGCGGAAGAAGAGGTATCGTTATGGAGTCCTGGGGTAGGACTCCGTCCTTCTAGCTTACTAGTGGCAAAGGACCATGTGATACCCGCACGGAGCGAGGAATAGTGATGGCTAGAATGGAGAATCATCTGGGAGTAGAAAATGGTCTAGTAGAACCAAACCCCCAGGCCCACCAGCCTGAAGGAATCTACGTAGCCAGGACCCTTGTTCAGGACTGTCAAGAAGTACCAGTGAGGGTCATGAATGTTACCCACAAGGACCAAAAGCTCAGGAGAGGATCTCCTCGGGCGCACTGTGAGCCAGTAACACTCGTGGCTTTGCCCGAGTTGGGGCAGCCCCCAGCACCAGGTATAACACCGAAATTAGCGGACGTGACAACTGCGGCCAAGCCACACCTAAACACCAGAGAATTTCAAGAGTTAGAGGATCTCATGTCCGAGTTCGCGGATATCTTCGCACAAGGCAACGAAGATTATGGAAGGACAAACAGGGTATATCACCGTATAGACACGGGAGACGCCCGGCCGATTCGACAGCCACCGAGGAGAGTACCCCTGGCAAAACAAGCGGAAGTGAAGGAAATGCTCGACAACATGCGAGGACAGGGGGTTATAGAAGAATCGGACAGCCCTTGGTCGTCCCCGGTCGTTCTGGTCAGGAAGAAGAATGGGGAGCTCCGTTTCTGTGTGGACTACAGAAAGCTGAACGACGTCACCAAGAAGGATTGCTTTCCACTGCATTGACGACACCCTGGACACGCTGGCCGGAGCCAAATGGTTTTTTTAACTGTCGATCTAAAGAGTGGCTATTGGCAAGTCGACGTACACCCAGACGACAAAGAGAAAACAGTGTTTTCGACAGGGCAAGGGCTATGGCAGTTCACAGTCATGTCCTTTGGCCTCTGCAATGCCCCGGCAACCTTCGAAAGGCTAATGGAGACAGTCCTACGTGGGCTCACGTACGATTCA